GGAATGGCATGGTTGAAACATCATGAGCCATGGATTGACTAGAGGTCAAAGACCTTAACGCTACGCGCACGTCTCCTGGTGGAGGTTTGGCGAGTCATGAACCCACCTCTGCTAAGAAACAAAAGCGCTATTGACATGAGCACTGGACCGAGACGGTCAACGTGCTGGACATTGGAACGTTCGAGTTGGTAGACACCAATGGTGTATCGGACAGGAGTCCCGAGCGTGGCTCGCGGGTTGATCGTGGAGTGGCACGTAACCCACTGAGCGCTGCTCAAGTTTCGGAGCAGTCGCCGCATGTCATGCGTGACATGGTCGGCCAAGGGCCGAGGCATCGAGGGCGAGGCCACTGTGACGCACGTGAAGTGGCACGTAAACCACTGAGCATTGCTCGAGTATCGTAGCCGTCGCGGCACGTAATGCGTAACATGGTCGGCCAAGGGCCGAGGCATCGAGGGCGAGGCCCCCGTGATGCACGTGAAGTGGCACGAAAACCACTGAGCGCTTCTCGAGTATTGAAGCAGTCGCTGCATGTCATGCGTGACATGGTCGGCCAAGAGCCGAGGCATCGAGCGCGGCCCCCGTTATACATGTGAAGTGGCACGTAATCCACCGAGCACTGCTTTCGTTGCGAAGCAGTCGCTGCATGTCATTGATGGCGTCGTCGGACAGAGTCCGAGGCATCTTGGGCACGGCCCTTCAGATGCGTGTGGAGTGGCACGTTGTCCACTGGACGAAGACTGCCGGGTTAGCAGCTCTTCGTCGGATGTTGTAGATAACATCGGATCTCCAAAGGTGCGGACAGTGAGGGTGACACCAGACGACACGGAGTGCGTGTTCACCATGGTCTCACCGAGACATAGAATCTCTGTACAGAGGCGACGGTGACGCCGGTATGCTGGCTGCAAGACGCCGGGCGTCGACCCTGATCCAGGGTGTGTCTACCGTAGAGGATGGCGCACAGTTATACACCCTCGTCAACGGTATGACAGGGGAGGAAGATGGTGACGTCCGCCTCGAGGCTATGCCTGCAGTGGATGCTCTTCTTGAGCTGGACGAGATGTCCCTTGAAGAGTTCGTCAGC